AATTAGGTCAGCAAATAGACCAGGATTTAAGTATCCTAGAGAAATCTATAGGCAAATTAGAAGAATTTGTCGGGTCCCTGACAGAAGTAGTTTTGCAGAACAGAAGAGGCTTAGATCTGTTGTTCCTAAAGCAAGGGGGACTTTGCCTAGCTCTAGGAGAAACCTGCTGTTTCTATACTAATCATTCCGGGGTCATAAGGGAAAGCTTAAGTCAGTTGAGAAAGAGGCTAGCTGACAGAGAGGAAGCTCGGAAGACTGCAGGAAACTGGTACGAGAACTTGTTCTTGTGATCCCCTTGGCTCACCAGCCTACTGACTGCTATAGCAGGCCCACTATTACTATTACTTATAGGCTTAAACTTTGGGCCATGCCTCATAAAATGCTTGGTTAATTTTGTACAGGACAGAATACAGGCAGTGAAACTAATGGTCTTGCATACTCAGTATTCTCAACTAGTAGATACTAGTAATGAATCTAAGGTTTAGATTCATTCCCAAAAGACCAGTAGGGTCTTTGGGAATGAAATAAGACATTAAGAATATTCATCCCGAATATTGGTTTGGCTCAGTGGATAGAGCATTGGCCTGCGGACTAAAAGGTCCCAGGTTCAATTCCAGTAAAGGGCATGTACCTTGGTTGCAGGCACATCCCCAGTAGGGGATGTGGAAGAGGCAGCTGATCAATGATTCTCTCTCATTGATGTTTCTAACTCTCTATCCTTTTCTCTTCTTCTCTGTAAAAAAATAAATAAAATATATTTTTTTTAAAAAAAAGAATATTCATCTTGGGTAAAAACTGCTGTTTGAATTTTAACCCCACTATTCTGACTTTGACCTTCACTTACTTGCTTAAACAATAGGGTAGTTACAGGAGATTGATTCCCATTGTCTCAGTAGCTTCAGGGGTAGAAACTATAGATTACCTTTAGAGATTAACCTCTGAGTTCTGCTTCTGTATTATCAGTAAGATAGGGCCACATTCCAATGTTCCTTTAGAACTTAAAGGAAAATTCCTGTGGTTTGAACCTTTAAAAAATGGCAAAGGAAAATTCCTGTGGTTTGAACCTTTAAAAAATGGCTTACACCTGGAACAGTGTGGTCCTCTGGACTCCACCTGCGTGTGATCCTGGCCAGTTTTTCAATAAATCTTGCCTGTTTTTTTTAATCAATCTTCAGCCTCCGGTGGTCTTATTTTGAACCCAGGATTCGACCCCACAACAGTAATAATCCACTTCAGGTAAATAGGAAAGACAACAAGGAGTGGCAGATGTTAGAAAGAACAGAGAAAAGAGGAAGATGGGAAGGAGGGAGAGAGGGAATAAGGAAATGAAAGAACTCAAAGGAAAAAGGTAGATAGCAAGAACTTCACTCCTTGATCAGTCCATTCATACATCCTCTACCTCATTTCAAAAGTCATCCCCAAAATATTCCAAGCACATTGACACCAGTTTGGCTCAGTGGATAGAGCGTTGGCCTGCGGACTGAAAGGTCCCGGGTTCGATCCCGGTCAAGGGCACATACCTTGGTTGCAGACACATCTCCAGTGGGGGGTGTGCAAGAGGCAGCTGGTCAATGTATCTCTCTCATCGACATTTCTAATTCTCTATCCCTCTCACTTCCTCTCTGTAAAAAAATCAATAAAATATATTTTTAAAAAATATATTCCAAGCACTTTGGGGACTAATTTGGAGGAGAGATTTGAAAAACAATGGACTCTTAATTCTGCTTACATTCCAACTAAAAAAAAAAAAAAAATCCACTTTTCTAAAAAATAATCTAATCAGCCATTTCTCTACTGAAAAGAGAAACAGAGGATGAGAAATCTAGGGATTAGAATTTCTATGCCTTCAAAAGCTAAGGTATAGAAACCAGTTTAGTTTTCTCCCAGGCTCTACACTGATCCTAGACTCTTCCATTAGTAATATAGTATGCAGACACATGGCTGAGGACCACTTCAAGCTTTGATCAGTAACAATTCCAGCCCTTCTGTTTCTCACCTAATTTCACAAAGCAATTCATACTGAAAAAAGTAAAAAACAATAAACCTTAGCACAGTACCTAACGTATAGAGGTGCATGGGTACACACATGCACACACACACACATAGTTAATTCTTCTCTTCCTAGCTTCAGAAATGAGAAAGAGAAAATAGATACACTTCCCAGTTTAGAGGATAGTAAGACACCTAGAAAGGACACCTAAGGTCTTGAGTAACAATGTTCTCTAAAATCTTTTCTAGCCATCATTACAGATAAGACCATTGTGCTTTTTTTCTGACTCATTAACATTAATTTTAGGGAGTTGATTCTGGAGAATCCAAGATGGCTGCACAGGTAAATACCTAGCCGCATCAGCACACAACAATTTCAATAAAATACAACTGAAATATAAAATGCGCATTACCCAGAACTACAGGAAAGTCGACTGACTGGAAATTCTACAACGAGAAGCAAGGAGAAAACCAGAAGAGCGGAGGAGCTGTAAAAGCTTAAGATACGGAGACATGGAGACACGGAGACACGCAGCACGTGGAGAGGACAGAGCCGGAGAGGAGGAGCGGCTGAGTGCCTGGCTGGTGTTCCCTAGCGAAAAGGAGATAAAAGCTCCGACTGTCCTGAACCGCAGGCCCAAGAGCGCTGAACCCCAGTTCTAGGGCAGACCCTGGGAACCCAGGCTCAAACAGAGGGAGACTGGGCTGTGAGGCGGAATCCCAGGGGAGCAGCGAAAGGAGGTGCCGGAGGCCCGCACATTGCACGCAGTGAAGGGACTGTTGGCTATGTCACGGGATTGCCCTGGCGGGAAGGAGACAGGGGCTCCCGAGTGCTCTGAATGCCACCTCCAACTCCACTTCCAACTGAACTGACCCCCAGTTCCGGGCTCACTGGGGGAGAGCCTAGACTGTTTGGTAGCAGGCGAAAATTGAGGGCACCTTTCTCTCAAAGGTGCTTGTAGCGAGTACCGAAGGACCCTGGGGAATACTGAGACTCAGGAGCTGCATAGGGCGGGGCTGACGAAAGCCAAGGCTGTAGGCTCCACCCTGAAACCCCGCCCCATCCAAGCAGAACACAGAAACTTTTAAGGCTACCAACTCAGGGAAGCTGCAAAAATGCCAAGACAAGAAAATAGATCACAAACGAAAGAAATGGAGGACAAAAAGCGACTGGATATAGAGTTCAAATCTACGCTTGTAAGGTTTTTCCAGAATTTCCTAGAAAAGGTCGATAGGACCTATAAGGATATGAAAAGGGATCAACTAGAATTAATAAGGAATCAACAAGAAATAATAAGGGATCAACAAGAAATAAATAATACATTGTCTGAAATAAAAAATATTATACAGAGTCCTAAAAACAGAATGGAAGATCGCAAGAATCAAGTCGAAGATTTGGAACATAAAGAGCCAGAAGACACTCCTCTGCAGAAGCAAGAAGGCAAGAGAATCCAGAAAGTTGAAGATAATGTAAGAAACCTCTGGGACAACTTTAAGCGAACCAACATCAGAATTATGCATGTCCCAGAAGATGAGAGAGAGCAAGATATCGAAAACATACTGAAAGAAATAGTGACAGAAAACTTCCCCCACCTGGTGAAAGAATTAGACTTACAAGTCCAGGAAGCACACAGAACTCCTAGCAAAAGGAATCCAAAGAAGACCACACCAAGGCACATCATAATTAAAATTCCAAGAGCAAAAGACAAAGAGAGAATATTAAAAGCAGCAAGAGCAAAGAAGGTAGTTACCTATAAAGGAGCACCTATACAATTGTCAGCTGATTTCTCAACAGAAACCATGCAGGCCAGACGAGAATGGCAAGAAATATTCAAGGTGATGAATAGTAAGAACCTACAGCCAAAGATAATCTATCCAGCAAAGCTATCACTCAGAATCGAAGGCCAGATAAAAGCTTCACTAATAAAAAAAAGCTAAAGGAGTTCATCACCACCAAACCAAAATTATATGAATTGCTGAAGTGGATTCTTTCAGAAGAGAAAGTAAATAAAGATAAAAATTATGAACAACAAATACGTAACTATCAACAAGTGCATCTAAAAACCAAGGGAATTCAAAAAAATCCGATGAACAATATTAACTGTTGAATATAATAGAATCAGAGGTATGGAAGGGGAGTGAACTGACGATTCTTGGGGAAAAGGGGAGAGGGGGATGTGGGAAGAGACTGAACATAAACTGTGCACCTATGGATGAGGACAATGGGGGGTGGGGAAAGGGCAGAGGGTGGGGTGGGAACCTGGTGGAAGAGAGCAATGGGGGGGGGGGGGGGGGTAGGGAAGAGGAACATTTGTAATAATATGAATAATAAAGATTTATTTAAAAAATAGATAAATAAAATAAAAATTACTACCTGGAAAAAAAAGAAAGAAAAAAACATTAATTTTAGCTTAATATTTTCTTTGTAAATCCTCACCAGAGGATCTTTTTTTCCCCCACTGATTTTCAGAGGGAGTGGAAGGGAGGAGGAGAGACAGAAACAACGTCAATGGATTGCCTCCCACACATGCACGTGGATTGAGCCTGCAACCTACGTATGTGCCCTTGACCAGAATTGAACTTGAGACCCTTCATCCCACAGGCTGACACTCTAACCACTGAGCCAAATCATGCAGGGCAGTTTAATGTTTTCTATGGACATCTTGTACAATTGTTAAAAATAACATTATTAAAGTCATTCATATATACTAATTATCAAGGAAAATGGTAAGATTCTAGAATTGCACAGCATATAGCTATACATACATTTGCACTCGGGAGCACACATATCACAAGAACAACAACATCTATTAGGTATTTACTGTACATTAGATCTTACATTAGATATTCAGCAATAAAAAAGATGAGTAAGGTCCCCTACTTTCAAGTAACAACTATATATATGTGCTCATATATTTGTAGGTAAACAACTTATAAAATTCTACCATTTAGGGCTTAAAGCTTTTCTTTAAGATATGTTTTTAGGCATGAATAAATTTTATGATACTTACTGCTAAAATATCTGCTTCTACAGGCAGTAGGTTTAAAAATGCAAACAACTGCACAGTCAAGATAGTATAGATTTGTGTGGCCGACAGCATGAGCATCCCAATGGAGAGCAGCATCTCGCTGTCAAATCACCTGGAAGATAAGCAGGTAAGTAACAATGAGCTCTGGTGTTTTGTCCATGAAAATAAATGACTTCCTATATTAATTCCTGATGTCCAAAAATATCTCTTTTAATTATGATCGTGAAAACATTAAAATTAAACATATTCAAAAGCATAGGGATTTACACAGATTTGAACATTTAAGTAACCACCCAATGTTAGTCAAAACTTACATAACTCATGGTGATTAAGTTTTGTGTTTTAATCACAAAACAAACATCTTCCCATAGTTGTTGGTTTATAATACAACGTATCTACTAATTCAATTATGGAGAAACTAGATTTCAATCCAAACAATTATTTTTTTAAATATATTTTATGGGTTTTTTACAGAGAGGAAGGGAGAGGATAGACAGTAGAAACTTCCAAGAGAGAGAAACATCCATCAGCTGCCTCCTGCACACCCCTGACTGGGGATGTGCCCGCAACCAAGGTACATGCCCTTGACCGAAATCAAACCTGGGACCCTTCAGTCCACAGGCCGATGCTCTATCCACTGAGCCAAACCAGTCAGGGCAATCCAAATAATTATTTAAAAACTCACAAGCACCTTTGCTTTAAATTTTTTACAATTTCAAAGAATTTTTATAATTATTTAAATATAATTTATAAATTCACATGTAAGTTTACTTTTTATTTATTCATGCATAATGCCTATAAAGAATGTAAAAAGAAAACAAAACTCTTAAAATACTTTTGTCCTTTCTCTCCTAATATATACATTTTTCTGTCTCTACATCCTAATAGCTCTATACCCTAATAGTGATAGTGTAGCTATCTCTTCCCAATCTTATGCAATTCTCCACATGAGTCTTTACCTAGCTCACATCAAAATTTTATGAAAGGTCTAAATGTTAACCAAGCTGAATTCAAAATTCTCATCAGTAAGCCTCAACCAACTATATAGCATATTTATAGGTAAGCATAGTTTGCCTTTATAAGTAATTATTTCATTAAATACCACCAACTCATGTAATACCAACTAGATGATGACTACTGTGGTAAGGAGATTATACACAGACTCAAACTGGTTCTTTAACAAACACTGAAAGAGAAATATCTCTGAATAATTTCTGAACTACCACCTTACAAACCCATTAAGATCAGAGATGAAATAATGGTGAAAACCTATTAAATTTATAGATTTGTACCACAGAAACAGAAAGCAAATTAGTGGTTGCCTGTAAGTGGGGTTAAGAATTAAGGAAGGGGGCCGGGACCGGTTTGGCTCAGTGGATAGAGCGTCGGCCTGTGGACTGAAAGGTCCCGGGTTCGATTCCGGGCAAGGACATGTACCTTGGTTGCGGGCACATCCCCTGTGGGGGGTGTGCAAGAGGCAGCTGATCGATGATTCTCTTTCACTGAAGTTTCTAACTCTCTATCCCTTTCTCTTCCTCTCTGTGAAAAATCAATAAAAAATAAAAAATAAAAAAAGAATTAAGGAAGGGGATGAACAGATATAAACAGGGTTTCATGTCCCCTCTGCCTGGTCAGGATGGCCGGACCCCACCCATGCACAAATTCATACACCAGGCCTCAAATATATTTACTGAGTGGCCAATTAATTATGCATTCAGAGATCATAATAATCTGGCCACTCAGTGTATACTAACTCACTGCATTGTTCATTTTAAATGGGTAGATGTTATGGTAATATGCAAAATAACCATTACTCTGCTACTTCCACAAATCACACCCACCAGCCAATCAGGAGTGAGTATGCAAATTAACCCAACCAAGATGACTGTGTCCATGGAAAGAGTAGGAGGGAGGCTTGGGTTTCCCTGGCAATGGAGGAAGCCAAGCTTTGTAGAGAACCCTGGCGAGCCTAGGCCTCTGCTTAAGGCCACACAGTTTCAATTATAGAAGGTAAATAAATTCCAACAGAAATGGCTGCCACCATAGAGTGAGCAGAAGGCTTGGCTCTGCTCCAGGCTACAAAGTTTCAGTTGTAGAAGATAAATAAAACCCAGATACCAGGGCCTCTGCTTGGGTCACCGGGGGACATGGCTGGCCTGCAAACCACCACAGTCCCCTCACCCAGACTGCCCCATGTCCCAAGGAATCCCATCCTGATCCGAAACACCCTTCAGGAAAAATCAGCTGGCCCCCACCTGTGCACCAGGCCTCTATCCTATCTAATAATAGAGTAATATGTAGATTGACCATCACTCCAACACACAAGATGGCTGCCCCCATGTGGACACAAGATGGCCAGCAGAGGAGGGCAGTTGGGAGACACCAGGCCTGCAAGGGAGGGCAGTTGGGAGTGATCGACTCTGCAGAGGAGGGCAGTTAGCGGTGACCAGAACGACAGAGGAGGGAAATTGGGGGCAAATGGGCTGGCAGGGGAGCAGTTAGACATAAATCAGGCCAGTATGGGAATGGTTAGGGGGTGATCAGGCTGGCAGGCAGAGCAGTCTGGAAGGCAGGCAGGCAAGCAGTTGGGAGCCAGCAGTCCAGGATTATGAGAGGGATGTCCGACTGCCCGTTTAGGCCCAATCCATGATCGGGCCTAAACAGGCAGTCGGACATCCCTCAAGGAGTCCCATATTGGAGAGGGTGCAGGCTGGGCGGAGGGTCACCCCCACCCCCTTGCACAAATTTCAGGCACCAGGCCTCTAGTAGTTATATAAATATCTCAAAGCTCATCAAAGCATATTCTTTAAATATGTACAATTTATTGTAAGTCAAACAAAGCTGTTTTTATTTTATTTTTTAAATAATAATTAAACTATGTTGGGAAAATAGTGCTGAGGGAGAGACCACAAAAGGAATGACTTGGTAGAAAACCCCAAGGCAAGGATTTCTCACTGGAGAAGGTATAGTTGCAGCACACTTGATAACAGAGAATTTCACTGGGTTTTCCAAAACCAGAGCTGATCCACTGTTGCCAGAAAAAACAGGAAACAATTCTGGAATGCAGGCAGGCAGAGGTAATCTGGGCACTGCAGGCACAAGGCCTGAGGTAGGCAGTGTCCAGTTCAGAAGGGCCTAACAAGGTGGTCACCAGGCCTGGGGCTACAAGATTACTGAAATCCTTTGTTTTCTGGGCACATGGCTAAGACAGAGCAACACCAGATCTTCCCACCCATATGTACTGTTGACAGACCATGCAGTAGGAGCAAGAAAATGAAAATCACAGCTCACGTGACCTAAGAAAAAAGAAAAAAAAACACTTCCCCCAGTAAGTTTTCTCTAGAACTTAGTCCCCTCCAACACCTGATAAAGCTTAATTCATAATTAATATTATGCTCTTTGTAAAGGAAAAATGCTTAAGAATCCAGTCCATTATTGAAGAGCATCTATTGAAGAGTGAATTTGGAGCAGAAATATACTGATAACTGACACAGCAATCTTCCTGTTTTTAACAGTACTTAAATAAAACAGTGCTTCTCTCATTTAACAGTAGGAAAAAGAAAGTGAATATATGGCCATTAGTGTGTATTAATGTGCAGAATCTGAAAAAGCACTCGTAGTCTCTGAAATATCATTTATCTTTATTTTTAATTTTTTAAAAATCTTTATTATTGATTCTCTCTCATCATTGATATTTCTATCACTCTCTCCCTCTCCCTTCCCTCTCTGAAGTAAACAAAAATATATTTAAAAAAAAAAAAACACAAAAAAACAACCTTTATTGAGAGATTTACAGATGTCCCTTCTTTTTTCCTCCATGTACCCGGTTCCTAACCCACCCCAGACCTTCACCATTCTACTGTCTGTGTCCATTGGTAATGCATATCCTATATAATAATCCTATATAATAAAAAGGTAATTTGCAAATTGACCCTAACACCCTCACACAAGATGGCTGCCCACATGTGATCAAAGATGACCACCCCTAAGTGGTCAAAGATGGCCACCACAAGATGGCCAGCAGGGGAGGTTATTTGTGGATGTGATCAGGGCAGCAGGGGAAGGCAGTGGGGAGACCAGAATGGCAAGGAAGGACAGTTGGGGGCAATCGGGCAAGCAGGGGAGCAGACAGGTATTGATCGGGCTGGCAAGAGAGTGGTTAGGGGGTGATCAGGCTGGCAGGCAGGTGAGTGGTTGGGAGCCAGCAGTCCCAGATTGTGAGAGGAATGTCCAACTGCCAGGATCGAGCCTAAACCAGAAGTCGGACAACCCCCAAGAGTCCCAGATTGAAGAGAGTGCAGGCTGGGCTGAGGGACACACCCCCAGTGCACAAATTTCATGCACCAGGCCTCTAATAAGCATATAAGACTTTGGTTATTCTATTTCCACCCCACTCCCTTGCTTCTGAGATTCATCAATCTGTTCCATGTTTCCATGCCTCTGATTCTATTTTATTCATCAGTGTATTTTATTCATTAGATTTCTTGTTCATTTATTTTGATTTTTAAATTCAATTGTTGATAGATATTATATGTATTACCATTTTACTGTTCATATTTTTTTATCTTTCCTCCTCTCCCTCCCCTTTCTCCTCCCCCTCTTCTTCCTCCTCGATTTTGCAGACCTCTATTTAATGTACTTAGGATTTAAAGGACAAAATTTCTAGGCCATATCACCCTATCAATATTTTGCTTCTAATTAAATTAATTTTTGTTATTAATTCACTATTTTTTAAATATATTTTTATTGATTTCAGAGAAAAAGGGAGAGGAACAGAGATGGAAATATAAATGACGAGAATCATTGATAAGCCACACATTGCAGATGGAGCCTGCAACGTGGGCATGTGTCCTGACTGGGAATTGAATCATGATCTCCTGGTTCATAGGTCGATGCTCAACCATTGAGCCAAACCAGCCAGGTTCCTCATTACTTTAAAAAAAATTTAGCAAGTAAGCCATACATTGGAAAGAAACACTGTAGTAATTTCACCAATATAAATATTACATACCTACAACTATAGTCTACATATTTAACTCCCAGAGTCATCAGTATTAAGTTTGGAGAATGACTAGCATGTGATCACACAGCATAAT